GAGGAACTGTTGTTTGAGTTCTTGTTTACAAGATCAGATTTCAACTGCCCTTTAATATAATTTGAAAAAATAGCCACACATTTTGCTTAAAAGAAAACAAAACAAAAAACTAAAAAAATGTCTAGGATGCCATGTCCAATAACAGCAATATCAATCTTAATTTTAAATAACAAGAAAGAAGAGCAATACAAAAGAACTGAGCCATTTCTTCAAACTGCTGCTTTAAAAGTAATTTATTATTATATTTTAAACTGAGTGCTTGGACAATTTGTTCTCATATACTGTACTGTATGTAGTATTATTTTGTGAATTTGACTTTTACTGAGAGAGATATTATGTATTCAGCATGGGTTAAGGCCCTTTTGTCTCTTAACACAAAAAAACTAATGGAAATACAAAATAATTTATATAAGTATATATTCACAATACACTTTAATGCATTCATTCGTAAGAGCAAACATAACAGAAAAAATAATAGTTTATTATTTCATATTTGTTACAAAATGCTTTAGAACTATAGTTACACATTACTGCTTTGTTAAAAATGTACTATATATACAAAGACTGTAAACCAATTTCAGTTAAACTGAAAGTTGATAAAGGTGCCTGAATTAAAAAAAAAATATTTGGTTGAAAATGTAACCATTTTCTTCAGGTGTTCCTCTTTGATCCATAAGAAGATAAAGTTTTACTAGATATTTCTATATTTGCCAGTGGTGTACCAGCAATAGCAGATCATTAAGCTCTTTGCCACTGAGGTATAAAACACAAGGGGCAGAACAGTTTGAAGGACATCTAGCCAGACATATCCACTGTTTCACCCACTAAACCTAGGAGGACACATTTTTATGTATCCCTACTGGCTTTTTTTAAATTTGCATGAACAGACCTTAAAGATTGCACAGACCCAGTCAGTGCTGAATTCTTTCCAAGGTAGTTAAAGGAAAATGGATTTGCAACATGAATAAACCTGTCTGTACCGAAGTGACAGAGAATTCAAGTAAAATGCAAACAGTCTGTAAGAAGCACAGTTTGGTCTTTAGTTTTACTAAGTTTGCCCTGTTACCCAAAAAGGAATTTATTAATTACTTTTTATTTTAGTCATAACTGATTTAAAAAAATTGTCAATGCATAATTTAAAAAGTGGTGAACTACATTACTTTTTACTTATTTATGCAAATCCACAGTCCTCAATCAAGAAGAGTTGTGACTCTCCCTCCCCCATGGCTCGGTAGCTGGTTCTTTATTATATGCCAAAATACAAACGTCATCAACTGTTACACCTCACAAGCGGGCATAATTAACAGAGTCTAGTGCGCTGACCAAGTTATAAAAACGACCTCACCCTTCTCTGATATCTACAGTAAAAAGTAAAACTCTCTCTGTAGAGGCAGAGGACCTGGTCTTTTGGTGTGGAAGTTATCCTCTGTCTAGTGAGTGGTGTTGCTTGGACCTTGTCAGCAACCAGGTTTCAGTTCCAGCAGAGTTGTGCTTGATTCACTGATGCCGTTACTCATGTTATAGAAGCTGATGTATATCACTTTCTGAGGCAAAATCAACACGGGGAGAGTGTAACAGGGTTAAGCATGCTGAAGTGCTTTCACCCCTTTTTATCAACAAGAGCAGTGGACTGTGCAATGTTCAGAACTTGGGAGCAATGAGCGTATCTGGATGAACACTACACAGCACGCAGCTATTGTATAAGCCAGAATTATTTTTGTTCACAGTAATGAAAGGATTGCAAACATTGGCTCCAGAGATTCATCTCCGTTATGCTTTTGCTGGACAACTGTTTGGTGAGCTGTGACATTTCCCAGGGGTTTTCAAGTGAATGCATCCTTTCATCGCTGTTTTCTTGACTAGCCCATGGTAGCTCAGAATTCCTCTACAGAGGCATTTATCTCCTCTATCCCCCCACTCAGCCTACATACTATTTCTTCTTCTCTCCTCCACCACCTTTGCAGTTCCCAAACAGCTTCCTTCTGCCACTGTCAGACCTATTCATTGCCTATTACACCGATGTTAATACTTGCAAACTACATATTGAATCCTATGTCTTTGAGAAGTCCCATCTCTCTGGATGTATGTAGACTGTCGGCCTCCAAGGTTCTGCCTCCATGTAAAAGAGTAGTTGTCTCTCTGAGCAGTACATGTCAGTTTTTTTCACTAGAGGGTGGCTTAGGGACACCTGAGAGAGAAAAGCGCAGACACTTGTATGGCATTTCAAGAGATTGTTCTACATCAGATGGTTTTTATTGGATTTCTATGTAAACAGGTGAAGAACACACAGTAAGGTGCCTAATCTTGTGAGGAGATCAGACCATTGTAGTCTCTAAGATGAGTTTCTTTGTGAAATTTGTCTTATGGTGAGACTGACTTACAGACAACTAGTACAAAGTTCATGGCTCATAACAAAAAGGTACAAAATAAGTCTTTAAAATGTTTCACCCCCACAACATGGAGAACATACAAACTCTATGCAGCTCTCATCCCAGGTCTAGAATTGAACCAGCTCTACAAAACAGCAATTCTAACCACTGTGACACCCTAGCACCCTGATTTTGTCTCCATTGTTGATTGCTGTAGATCTGTTCATCCTATTACATTTGTCTACTAGTGCATCACCGCACAGACCAGAAGATGAAAGTAAGCCCAAGCAAGGAGGTGCTGCAAAAACTGGTCTTTAATATCTTGTTTGTAATGAGGTAAGTGAGGTGATTGTTTACGTGCAGCTGGAACTGAACGTCTGCCAGAGCATGTAGTCACGGCGCTCGACAGATTGGCAGGTCAAGTAGAGACTCTGCCAGGATGCCACGGTGCTTCTAACTCTTTGTTCAATGTTCTGAACAGAGCTGTGACATTAATGAGAGGAAATGTAATACAAGTTAGTTGCAGTCATACTTTGTTGTAGCCTGATCTTTGACCTGAACAGGAACAGGTTAATATCTGCAGAGAAGATCTTACAGTAAAAAGTAGTTATAATAGTGTTGCTTTTCATCCTGAACTGTAGATAAAAGACTGATGCTGTAAAAGATGAAAGATGGCATTTTACGAGAAATGTCATGGTTTCTTCCCAAGTAGAGCTGCTAAACCTGGTGGTAAAACTGATCCAAAAAATCTGACCATCTCATTTCAGTTCTGAGTCTTGACTTAGCCTGATTCTCCCTAACCGATTGAGCTATTATTCTGTTTGTTAAATATACCCTTTGTGAGGTATGTTGGTACAATTCTGGTACTCTGTGGTTCTCACCACATCACAATATTCTGTGATGTTCTTTTTTACTTCTGGTGCATCTCTGTTCTGGAGTTTATTACTGTGGTGATCTCCAGGGTCAAAGTTTGTCTACTCACACTGAATTCAGAGTGCATATATTTATAAGGAAAATTTTTATTATTCTGTACTGATTTAAAAACTGTTGTTGCACAAAAAGAGAATATTCATTACATTTACAGTATTTACAGTTTGCTGTTTGATTTTGGCTTTTACTATGCAGAGCTCCTAGCTCTTTAACTGTAATGAGAAGCTCTGAACAAGCAACATGCCCATGATGTCGACAGTTGACTCTAATTGCTACTATTCTATGAGATCTGCATTCAGATCAGAAAGTCTTTAAGTATTTTTGGCCATTTATGTTGTGTAAATGGTTAATAAAGCAGTAGCTAAATATATGAAATTTCAGTTTTTCACTATGAAATATGTTAAATTAATTTTCAGCCAACACGGTGATATTTTCTTTATTCTTTTTCTTTATTTTCTTCTCTTTCCTGTGCTTGTTTCCTGTAGGGCACCAGGAAAATTATGGTGACAAGTTATGTAATGCTTGCCAGGCTTAGGTAAATTAGATATACAAAAACAGTATCAGTGAATGTTTGACAAAGAACCTTAAACAATTCTAGGGATTATCAAAGACTTTCTTCTCAACAGCTGATACTAAAATCAGCACAAAATATCCTCCACATTACTGCATGTTACAGGGTGAGTTCTTTAACTAATTGATAAGACAGTTCTCCTGAGCTTCACAGCCACCTTTCAGTTCAGTTTTTATTTATTTAAACATGTGCTGTCAGCTTTCACACTGTCACCAATTGTTTTATATTACTTCAGACAACTTGGCTTTAAAATTCCCGACTCTTGGGGTTGCTGGGGATTGTAATAATTAGATTCAGGAGTTGCTTATATTTACTCTGCTATTTCTCATCTCTAAGCTTGTGCTAAGCATTGCTGTCTCCTGGTAAAATAATGGATTAAAGGCCAATAGGGATGTGTCTCTGCTCTTAGCTAATAAAACCCTGGCTTACAACTGGCTGAATAACAGAGACTAGGAGAGCCGTTCAAAATGCTAATAAACATGTCTATATGCAAAGACAATAGTTTAATTCTTAAGTCTTTTTAAAATATTTTTTGTAATCCTATTAGCATAAACCAAAATTTTTACAATATTCAGGTTATAAAGAAACCCCCTTTCAATAATTTAGCTGTTACACTTTGTTTTGTGTGGGAACTGTTGAATTGTTTTTTGAGTAATAATTGTGTTGGGTGGAAATAAGAAATATTGGTGTGTGTAAAAACAGCTGTCTTCTGGCACAGATGAATGGTTGATCATCGTGGGCTATGGTGGGGGTTAGTATGGAGGGAGCCCAAGACTAGAAAGTGGGACAGCCACCCAGAATGCAAAGTGCAAAAAATGACCCACTGTGGTTCTCGCTCTGTAACCTCATTGAAGACATGAGTGTTACTAGTGGAAAGCTGAAAGAAATGTAAATCCTGATTGTTCTGTTTGGACAACCTCACCTCTGTTATTACTTAGTCAAGAGGTCAGAAGGTTTCAATTCTTTTAGCTACTGTATGATTAGACTAACTTAGTTGGAGGAGGAAAGGTTACGCATAAACCTGCTTAACTTACAGTGTAAGTGGAATAATTTTTCATTTTGATTTTAGCTATGCTGTCAATTTTAGCCTCAGGCCAGGGTGCGTTCAATTTCATCTGAAAAAGTTGTTTTTCTTTTTCTCAAACTATCAGACCAAGAAACTACATATATCAGCACTTGCTCTGTTTTACCAACTTTCAGACTTTCACAGGTATGTAACACTTGTATTGATAATTAGAATTTTTATTTATAGATTGTGTGGGTATTTGAATCCCTATAGCTAATTAAATATATTTTGAAGATTTTATTTTAATTCATGCTGTAGTTGAACAATTTAAATTAAAAGTCCAATAAAAAGGATGAATGGGGTGTTGGAGTTGGTTGAGAATATAATTGCTATTGCAGAAACACTTTAAATGCCTACAGAACTGAGAGAGTCTACATGTAATGGATTAAAAAATGTCTTGACTACATACAGTAGGAATTCACCGGTAAAAGAACTACATTTTCATTGAACAGTGCTTTACATTTAGCATACTGAGGTATTTAAATAAGGTGCCTATACATTAGCTCCAGCATTACTGACTCCATCAATGTTGTGAGAGTGAATTTATCCTTACTCTTTTAACCAGAAGTATGTGTCCCATGGTGTGCAGGTCAGGGGATACATCAGGTGATGCATGAAATTAAAGTCAGAATTTATTACAGTTTTAATGAATCCATGTGCCTGAAGGAGGGCCTGCATGGGAACACACCGGGGACAACCTGGTGACCTGTGAGTGGAATCAGAACACACCCAAGCGAATTCCAGCCTCATCATATTACACCAAGCTTTACGCTGACCTGCTGTTCTGCAGCTGTGAATGTCACTTCACAGTGAGTAACGTTCTTCATAATGGATGATTGTAAGAATCAAGTGGCACAGATTGCATTATTAAAGAGACTGGTAAAGTAGTTCTTAATATGGAAAACAAGATGAACAAAATACTATTAAGCTTATTTTCTGTTACATCTTTCTCACCTTATTCTCAGTATAAATCTACTTGTCTTCTTACTAATAGGATCTGTTTAACACTGTTCTCTATGGACTTACCATTGCATTAAACATTGCTTTGCTGAAACTTTGCCCAAAGGGTACATGGTTAAACTGCTCCTTCAGGAAACTGTATGTTGAAAAACTACATTCACTGTCATTAATATAAAACTCAAGCATGAACATGTTTTCCATTGCTTATGTACTGAAATTAAAACATGCCTGCAGAAAACATTCTGTATATTTTCTATTCTGGTGCTCAGACTCTTCACAGAATCATTTTCCACACAGATCTGCAGTAGGCATTTATACAGCATAATTTCAACTTTTCATCCCAATGACAATTACAATATATCACTATAAAGTATACTAAAAACAATGAAGAGAACTAAATGTATGCACACTCAGAACAAAAATATTAAGTCCATGGTCCCCAGTAACAGAAAACAAAAGTCCCCAAACTAACTAAAAATTAAACAGCACCATTGTCATTTATAAGCTTTGTCCTGTAACCCAGTGTGCCTTTTTTCAGCACACTTAAGAAACAAAACTCTGCATTGCCTCTTGATAGCATTTTCTCCTGTCCTGACAGTCCCAAACATTTTTGTCCCTTTTTCCTCCCCCCTACCTTGTCTCTCCACAACAAATACAGGCAGTCGAGCTAATTAATGAACTGACTGCAGTATATGCGTCTGACCAGCTATAAAGAGGCACTTTCCCTTCCTCCTTTGTCTCTTATGCTTCCTCTCCATTGCCGTATTCCTGCCTGTGCAGCACCCCAGTACAATTTAATGCATCACCATGTACTATACTTCAACTAAACATAACCCCCATCAAAGTGCTGCACTGTATCCACTTTTGCCACTCTGTGACATGAGGTCTGCGGTATTAAACTTTATGATAAAGATAAACAATGCAGTATTTGCATAACATCAATATAACCATAATTAATGATGCATAACTGTTCTTCGTAATGTTATTTTACCTGCAGTATAATCCTACATGCTGACTTGAGAAATCCCTGAAAAAAGATATATTTCTATGCCAAATTAAATCTACAGTACAAATACAAATATGTTGATGCAAAGAACTGTATTAATTAACAAGATTTATCACCATGATAATTTGACCTATTTTTTCTCATAAGAAATCAGCTTAATGATGCTGTAAAGTCACATAAACCTTCCCTGTTGCTGTAAAGAAACATTAAGTTGTTTTTTTTTCCCATCTGCCAAAGTGCAGTTAACTTCGTTTTTCATGAGATATTGGAGAACCTCACAGGTACAGTAAGCGGGATGATCTCACTGAGGTGTATAATGAGTGGAAAAAGCTCAGGCATGTTTCTGTAATGGGTTACTTGTGTTCTGTAAGTATAATTAACCTACAGTGCCAACTGAACATTTGGGGAATATCTACTCTGCAGGTACTGCATAAATGTGGGCCTTTGTACAGATCAGTTTCAAATCTGACATAATAAGGATTTAAAGGTAGACATTATTGTTATATACTGTGGTACAAAATAAAAAAGAACGCATTGTTATAATAGATTGGTTTAGTCAAATATCTGTGCATCCATTTTCTAACCCCTTCTTTCAATTCAGAGTCGCGACAAGCCTATCATGACAAGCAACGGACAGAAGGCAGCGACACACTCACACCTAGGGACAATTTTATCAGAAGCCAATTAACTTTCGAGGATGTTTCTGGACTATGGGAAGAAACCAGAGCACCCGGAGTAATTCACATGAATATGGAAGGGGAACATACTGTACAAACTCCACGCAAACCCCATGACCCCAGAACTAAGAGGCAATGCTAACTGTGTCACCATGCCACACTTAGTAAAATATATGAAATTAAATTACAAAAAATAGATTCAAAATAAACATTAGAGAGTGGTCAGGATATGGCTTTTCAGAGCATTAATGCAATCCTGGCAACATCGATGCACAGACCTGATTATCTCTTTGCTACAGGATGTGCCACCACTCTACTTGAGCAGCTGGAGTCACCTGGTAATGGCAGTATGGATAATTTTGCCTCAGTTATCCCCCTGAAATAATACTGGACTCGGGTCTGGAGCATGGTCATGGTAAGACCTCAACATGTATTTCTTTAAGTGATGCAATTACATTTCCAGAGCTGTGTGGTACATATAAATCAATACTACAGTACACTGCTCTAATTATGGCCACATCGTATGCTCTCTGAGTCACAGAAGATGATGATTTCATTCCTTAGTTGTCAACATGTTATCTTTGCCCTTAACAGCTTCTGAGCATGCATATCATTTTAATTTCAGACAGTGAGCTACTCTTAATCTACTGCCTGAAATTAAAATGATACAGTTATTTCTTACTGGAGTCTAAAAATGACCATGCACATGGATGTTTCAGTTCTTGTGATGAAGCCAGTGTGATGAATCTCTACCTTCTAGTGCATGACCTCATGTGCCACATTGAACTGATTTAATGTTTTTTGTGGACTATTTAGAAACACTTTATCTCCTTGAAATTTGGTAGAATTGGTAGAACTTCCAGTGATAGCAAGATTGGAGCACAAAGAATGATCTGCTACTTTACAGATCACAAGGTCCAGTATCAAAAGGATCATAGGATCTAATATTAAAGCTGCAGAGAGATCTAGAAGGATCACAACAGAGAGAGAGAGAAGCAGCTTGAGTAGAAAGCTTCTTTGATTGACAGGATAGCAGTGTGGGGAGTAATTTTTCAGTTAGAATAAAGTGTTGTTAAAAGATTTTGAATCATCTTTGTGTGCCTTAACCCTGCATAAGTGATTTCAGCCACAGAATGACCTAGTGGTCTTTGCATGTGGGAAAGTAAGGTAGAAGAGTTTGTATTCTGGATAAGGATCTTTCCCAGGACAGTGACAACCCAGTACCAGTAATTATTATGATGGATGTCCAGCACTAGTCCCTGGATGTCTTACAGAGAGCCATAGGCACATCAAGACATGTTTAAAGTCACAGTGCTAATCACTCAGAAGGAAGATCCCCCAATTAAAGATCTGCAAGGTGGGTACAAGAACTATATTTGATAACATCTCAGCCAATCACCGGACCCAAAAGATAAACTTTGCACAGACCGTTTAACAGATCATTATTTCAAAGAGCATAGTTTAGCCATACTAACTTTGGCAGAGCTGCCTAAGATCGCAAGCTGCTAAGCCCCAATGCAAGAAGAACCTCTTCTCTTTGGCACAGGGACAACTAATAGCACATAGAAGCTGCAGAGTCAGACCATGAAGCTCTGTTTCACCAGCAGGAAGTTTAGGTCATCAAGGACATTTGGCCAATGGATCCTGAGCATAAAACATCTTTATTCACATTATAATTATCAAGAGTTAAACTATTATTCCAATCACTTTCGATGTTTAGTTGACAGTAAAGTAAATACATATTTAGTTGTACAGCCACTAAACTATCAATGAATTAAACATACATTCAAAATTAAATGTAATTAATGTACAACAAAATTAGTTGGTACAAATAACTAAAACACATCAGAACACAAAGAACTAAAGGAAAATCCATTATCTGTTATTTAAGATCAACTGATGTTTAATGGTGGTTGGGTACAGTACATTACAAACTTATTGAATCAATGACAAAGTTGTCAGAACCTCAGTTTAATGTTCAATCCAAAGGGCAGCATCTCCTGCAATACATGACCCTTAATAACATACTGTAGCATTGTTATTAGAATTTCTGTTCTAGTGGGCAAATCATCCCCTACTGAGCTTCTAATATTATTTACAACTATAACCATGGTTCTCCCTTGGAAGTTTCCTGACTCACTATGGATCTATCTCACCTTTGCTCAGCTCCTGAGATCTAATTTGATTAGTCTACAAGGTGGTATCACTACATGAACATGGATTCTATGGAAATAACTACGTTTTTTTCAGGTCTATAGATTTTAAAGGAAACTTGCTCTAGACAGACTAGAAGGGTCAGTGTATAATCAGCACACAGGACATTCCCACCTTCAATTAGGCATTCAGCAGCTAGATGTCCAGAATGAGGACAAAAGGAAAGTCCTTCTAGGGTTTGAGTAACTAAGTAGAATAGAAACAGCTTACAATGTGCACAGGGTGATCACACATATTGCCCCAGTTTCCAGTGCAGTGGATTGAGCTGTCGTGAAGGGAGGTTGACATGATGGACATGAAGAGGGTATGTTCCCTTTCAAGTAAGAACCGCAGTTCTCTAAAAAATAAGAATGTTTGCAATTGTCAGTGGTCTTTCTGATTACCATTCCACACACTTCTGAAATGGCAAATAGTACCCAAGCCCTGTGACCAGTGCACACCAGTGACCTAGTTGTCCTGGTCATAAAGTGCATTTGCTAAGGGGCTTGGGTGTTGCCTTTGGAACCTGACAACTGGACATGCTGGAGGACTGAAATACAGGTTAGAAAAAGGTTAGGCCTATCCACATGATAACGTGGATATTAAAGTGCTGATTTTAAACAAAATGTGACTCAAATATCAGTAGGAGAAGCTGCGTATAATATATTTATATTATTAATATATTCTGAAACATCAGTTTTATGCATCCAGAATTAATGTATGTTCTATTTTATTTAAGATACTACAGTAAAACAGGCCATATACTGTATGACTGAGTAGCTTTAAATTAGAAGCCCTGTGCTGTAGACAAAGCTAATATAATATACTGGGCCTCAAAATATTGTTTTTCTATTAATTGAAGTGATTACCATTTCTGGTAGGCACTAATTGTTCTCTGAGTGAATAGGGCTGAGCACTCACCACATGCCTTAATTGCTGGTCAGAGATACCCAGCATAATAGTCTGAGTTAGCTAACAAGATTAATATGTAATGACTAAGCTTTAACATGTGAGTCTTTTCAGCTCATTTAATAGTAATTAACTGCCAGTTTATTTCTACTTCCAAGATTACTGCAAACAAAAAAGTATGATTCAAAAATAAAAATAAATAAAAAGTTACAAGGAGTATGAATATATAAATCATTAAAACCGTTGAATAGCTAATGGGTGTTAAATGAATTGTGGGTCTTTAAATTCTCAGAATTAAAAATAATACTTATATTTATTGGTGCTCTTCAAGGATGAGATGAATCTCATAAGATGTGTGGAGTTTGTTTTCACTGATCTATTGTTGCTAAATGAGTTTGGTTCAAGGATGGTTTTCAGTCAGCAAATCAGCTTACATCAGTTGAAGTATTGCACAGACAACAGCAGAGAGTATTCTTTAGCTCAGCAATGTCAGTGACAGTAGGATTCTGGGAGCTGAACACTGTATAGATTCTGCAGGGAATCACCCTTACGTGTCATGACAAGATTGAAGGATACACACTTCTAGAAATTGTCACTGTATCTCAGCAGACTACGTGTTCAGTACCCTTTTCTAAAATTATTCCTCACCACCCTGTTACAAAACATTGTATCAAGAGGTTGTTAATAAATTGCTTCTGCACTACAACAAAACAGTCAATGTGTGGTACCTGTGGGAAGAAACATAATCACTTTGTTTCTCTTAGTGCAGCTGTAAGCAGTACAAATTTTGTTCTCATCATAGACGGGTTCTGACAGTTGTTTTAGGCCCCTGCCCTGATTTGTAATGGTGGGAATGGTTTCTCTGTTTGCAGAAGATGTTCATTTTCTTTTTTGTCCTCTCTAGGTTTCTTCACTACATCTGTGGTTCAAACCTAAATACCAGTGAACCCTCTCAAAATCACACTGCATATGATATGAATAAAATACATTTAAAACCACCAGCATGCATAACAGTGCATGTATAGGCTGTGTCTTTACCTTGAGTGAACCTCCTTGTAGCATCTTTAACAGGTCAGGAAAAAAAGAACACAAAACTGCTACTAGGCAAAAAGGTTAGATTACAGTATTATTATCTGACAACATATGGAAAAACAGCCCCTAGTAACTGTAAATCTTAATACTTGACAGAGAAGCACTTGAGTATGAAGTCACAGTCAATTGAACTTACTGTATGAGCATAAAAGGTAGTGTTAAATCAAGTATACACAATAGAAAATGAGAACATTTTTATATTTATTTTAACACAAAGTTCCATATTTAAAAAAATGTATGGAATTATATTGCGTATTAGAACCCTAAATGGAAGTTTTTGTTTTTAAAACTAAATAAGTAAATGTGGCATTTTGTCAGAGGAATAAAATATTATTTTATTATCATAGGCATTTCTTGTACAGATGCAAACACTTGGAATGCGCATAGCAGAAACTACATACAGTGATACACCACACGGCAACGTGCAACACCTTTTTTACTTTTTCAAATAATCTCATGCAGGTTGCATTACTTTGTAAAAATGCCAGGAGGTGCAGTGAATGCTTAACATGATGCATGTTTTGATTGGTGATTCGATTCGCTGGTAGAATTCTCACCTGCCACACCAAAAGTTTGGATTTGACTCCAACGGATATTCAAGTTGTACACATTGCTTGGAACCGAACCAGAACGAGTTCTCGTGGTACTGAGAGGTTTTTGACTCCGAGTGAGAATGCGGCAAAGAGCTGCAAGCTCTGACTCATCCAGGTGTAACACTATCTGAAAGGGTCTGAATTATCTTTGTGTGCTCAGTAGCTTCTCATCTTCAAACTCTCTGTCAACCTGAACCAGTGTTCTTCAAGATCTTGCAGCTCCTCATTCATCAAGCTTGCCCTATGAGATGCAAGCAGGTCCTCAACATCAAACAGTTGGCCTCTTTCTGTCTTCATTCTCCTGAGCAGTTTTCCATCTGGAATTACATTGCCTCAAACATTTTGCAATAACTCTGGAAGTATACACAGCAGAAGCCTTTAGAAGGTTTTAAAGTGACTAGCACTGTTAACTAGCACTGGTGAACAACCACAAGTTTTAACAATCTACCTCAGTGTCTCCATCTACCCCCCAGCTGAACTCTCATCTCCACTTGCTTCCCATGAAAAGTTTACAGACATGGTCATGTTAACAAATACACTACAGTGAAAGACTTATCTTGTGTTTTATTTTTTAAATTTGAAATCAATATATGTGGTTTGTGCTATATATGTTTTTGTGCTGTTTTAG